ATCAGGCACCCCGCTATAGGTGGCTGGCTCGCTCCGGGTGGCGTAGGCGGCGGTAGTTCCTGACCGTAGTACAAACACAGAAAATTGGCGCACACTCGAACCCCTCACACTCAACACGGCTGAGTTCGCACCCTCGACTCCCCGGTGAAGTGAAGCGTTCATACCCAGGTGACGCGCACAACGATAGCGTCTCACACCAACATTGGGAAATTGCCTTAACACTGACACGAATTTCCCCGTTCCCATCGACTGCTACAGAGCACTAGCAAGTCTAATCAACACTGGTATGGGATCTACGAGTCTGTTGCTGCTCGTATGCACATTCCCCCACGATCCCAGATTACTGTACCTCTACCCCCTGCATACAATAATATCTTAAACCCCTCCAAGCGACGACTTCGGCCGGATTCTGTGACGACCGATGTCGTAGGTGAAGCAGGAAGCATCAGCAGTTGTAGTCCAGCCACCACGACGCCCTATACATCAATTTGGCCGAATTGAGTACAGGATGCGTCTTGACAAGGTGGCGGCTGAGTTCAGAATCATGCTCACACCGGCTCTTCCCGCGTCCTTCTCGGAATAACCAATGAGAGGAAGGCATACAGCGGCCTACCCCTCTCATCCAATCAGCGACGGTGTAGCATAGCCCCTAGGGCAGCTCCAAGATGGCCGACCAACATGGCGGCTCAAGATGTTTACTAAGATGGCGGCTGGTTCCCATGACAACCACTCAAGTGGCCAGCGAGCGTGGGGCCCCACATGTTTCACCCCACGCCTGCGGCCTAGGCGTTCGCGCGCAAAGTTGTCTGGCTCCATGCCATACAATGAGATGATGCTATCAGCTCTAGCACTGTCCACAGACATGCCACCCCGGCCAGGACATATATATATATATATATATATATATATATATATATATATATATATATATATATATATATATATATATATATATATATATATTATTAAATATGACCGAAAAAGTAAGATTAATAATTCTAACACGAATTTTCTCAATCTTTCGTACATTACGCTTCACTGTTGGAGGTAAATCAAAAATCACTTCTCCAAAATTCATTTTTATTTCTAGTCTGACGCGACACGGGCGCGTTTCGTAAAACTTATTACATTTTCAAAGACTTCACAAATACACAACTGATTAGAACTTACGTATCTCTGCTATTATATCTACATTTGAGTGAGGTGGGAGGGATGATGTGGCATATAGTGATGTGGCATTAACACAAGACAGAACATGAGGGGATATTAATAGGGTATTAAAAGTATCAACACAAGACAGAACAGAAACAATGGGTATTGAATAGAAGTGTTTGTAGAAAGCCTATTGGTCCATATTTCTTGATGCTTCTATATTGGAGCGGAGTCTTGAGGTGGGTAGAATATAGTTGTGCAATAATTGGCTGTTGATTGCTGAGATTCGTGTTAGAATTATTAATCTTACTTTTTCGGTCATATTTAATAATATATGTCTACAGGAAAGACTGCTACCAAAATATACTAATATATATATATATATATATATATATATATATATATATATATATATATATATATATATATATACAGTTTTGCGAAAAGGGTTGTTGAATTTTGGATCAAAATTACCGGATAAGATAATAGACATGGGTTAGTTTGATTGTTTCAAGCGTAGGTTAGACATACACATATAAGAGTTTGAGTGAGTATAAATAGAAGCTACCTCTTATAATTAATCGTATGAGCCAATGTGTCGTCCGCCCTTCCCTTCATACATATGTTCCAGTAGACAATTGTTAATATACAAAGATACATAAGAATAAAAGGTCAAATAAACTCAAAGAGATGAAGAATGAAGAAAAATGAAACTCCTTGAAAACTCGGCAATAATTATCAGGCGTCTGAGAGGCACATTTCCCACCAGAAACGACTACAGACCGAACATGTCATTAGAGATGACGAAACCATACCCTTGTTTTTGATGAGAGGAGATATGACGTAATCATAAGTTAGTTTGGATAATTGTACGTGAATTCCCATGAGCCCAACCACTTGAGCTGGACGGTAGAGCGACGGTATCGCTTCATGCAGGTCGGCGTTCAATCCCCGACCGTCACCAAGTGGTTGGACACCATTCCTTTCACTCAACCCCCTGTCTCATCCCAAATCCTTATCCTGACCCCTTCCAAGTGCTATATATATAGTCGTAATGGCCTGGTGCTTTCCCCCTGATAGTTCCAGTCTCCATCCCATAGCCTTTATGTGAACAGAAGTACACAATGTTACAGAGGCACCCTATATCCATCATGCGGGCAAAGATGGAAAGGTTACAGAGGCACATGATAGCCTCAGCAACTGAACCTCCAACAATGACTGTTGTAGACTCGTTACAACATTGATCAGCTAGTAACAAGAGTGTGTTAGTCTATGCTAACACACTCTTGTTAGCAGTTTAAATTGAAGCCTACTAGCAGTTTAAATTAAAGCCTACTAGCAGTTTATATTAAAGCCTACTAGTAGTTTATATTAAAGCCTACTAGCAGTTTATATTAAAGCCTACTAGCAGTTTATATTAAAGCCTACTAGTAGTTTATATTAAAGCCTACTAGCAGTTTATATTAAAGCCTACTAGTAGTTTATATTAAAGCCTACTAGTAGTTTATATTAAAGCCTACTAGCAGTTTATATTAAAGCCTACTAGTTGTTTATATTAAAGCCTACTAGTAGTTTATATTAAAGCCTACTAGCAGTTTATATTAAAGCCTACTAGCAGTTTAAATTAGCTTGCAATAGGAGTCTTAATGGACCCCAGTACCCATGAGAGACCAGTTCCCCACACCCACCCTGTAGGCTCCAGGCTACAGTGACAGAAAACGGCCCTAGCAGCTGATTGTATATATCTATTTATCAGCAAGTTACAGCTTAATAGATTCGTTACAGTTTTTGTTTTACAAATAGTCACGCAATGGAATCAGGTAGTAAAGCTTATATTCGCTGGCTAAACCATTTTATAATCGCTGTAAGGGTAGTTAGCTGAATTACAGTGCTGTAGTTTATATTAAACGGGTCGTAAGATAAGCAAGTAAGAAACTCGTAGGTAATACGAGCCTAAGAGTGATATATATATATATATATATATATATATATATATATATATATATATATATATATATATATATATATATATATATATATATATATATATATATATATATATGTCGTACCTAGTAGCCAGAACTCACTTCTCAGCCTACTATGCAAGGCCCGATTTGCCTAATAAGCCTAGTTTTCATGAATTAATGTTTTTTCGACTACCTAACCTACCTAACCTAACCTAACCTAACGTTTTCGGCTACCTAACCTAACCTAACCTATAAAGATAGGTTAGGTTAGGTTAGGTAGGGTTGGTTAGGTTCGGTCATATATCTACGTTAATTTTAACTCCAATAAAAAAAATTGACCTCATACATAATGAAATGGGTAGTTTTATCATTTCATAAGAAAAAAGTTAGAGAAAATATATTAATTCAGTAAATCTTGGCTTATTAGGCAAATCGGGCCTTGCATAGTAGGCTGAGAAGTGAGTTATGGCTACTAGGTACGACATATATATATATATATATATATATATATATATATATATATATATATATATATATATATATATATATATATATATATATATATTATCTACATTTAACAAACTGTACATTTGAAAAATAGACATTTCTTAAACAGTGGTAATTAAGTTGTCTCTAAATTCTCGGATTATTGTGAATTCAATTGTATAGTGATGGACATTTGCTGTCAAAATTTTCATTTGGTTACCTGAAAACTTGAAAAGTATTAACGTAAGACATGACATAACCATGGGGGGCCTCTATGCTATTGGTAACGAAATATGTGTCGTAATTATCTAGGGGGGGGGGGTTGAACCATGGGGGGGTGTACCCCCCATTTATTGGGAGAGCTGTGACGTCATGGTGTACCTGGTTGTCATTAGCTACTGACGCCAGTATCATAACTATCAGATAGCATGCTTTAAATATTTATACCAGGTAATGCTTGGGTATATATACAGAATGTATATTGCAGTATTGCTTGTTATTCGCATATATTTTATATATATATATATATATTATATATAAATTTATATATATATATATATATACATTTTTATATATATATATATATATATATATATATATATATATATATATATATATATATATATATATATGTGTCGTACCTAGTAGCCAGAACGCACTTCTCAGCCTACTATGCAAGGCCCGATTTGCCTAATAAGCCAAGTTTTCATGAATTAATTGTTTTTCGACTACCTAACCTACCTAACCTAACCTAACCTAACTTTTTTGGCTACCTAACCTAACCTAACCTATAAAAATAGATTAGGTTAGGTTAGATAGGGTTGGTTAGGTTCGGTCATATATCTACGTTAATTTTAACTCCAATAAAACAAAATTGACCTCATGCATAATGAAATGGGTAGCTTCATCATTTCATAAGAAAAAAATTAGAGAAAATATATTATTTCAGGAAAACTTGGCTTATTAGGCAAATCGGGCTATGCATAGTTGGCCGAGAAGTGCGTTCTGGCTACTAGGTACGACATATATATATATATATATATATATATATATATATATATATATATATATATATATATATATAAACCGAAAACTTCTCACCTGTGAAGGATTCGAACCCAGATAGCTATTGCTCTATGAACCTCAGCATATCAAGTACTATTCCAACTAAACCATACTGACTGTACAAAAAATGTTGGAAGATGTGAGACATTTCCCCAACATCCGACAGGTTGGAAAAGGGAGGGGAAAAACTACACAGTCAAAGCTCCATTATACATATACAAGAGCAGCTCATCCTCCTAAAGTTTCCTAACATGAGGCAGCTGTAAGGCTGAGAAGACAGGAGTATCAAAAAGTACCATCAAAACTCCTATAGTGTTTATTGGTGCTTACCTTCTGAGCTAAGGAAGAGAACAGATGAAGTTACTCATTCCTCCTTGACCCTCGGTTGATTGCTGGAAATCTTAGAAAGGTTGTTAGTGGCATTTCTAGTTCAATTCCCTTGAAACTTTTGATCACTGCGTAATTAATTTGCAATCAAGGACAATTTTCTCTTGCGTCGTGCACCAGCGATTCCTGTTTTCTTAATACACTCTATCTTGCGTGAAATTTATTCAGATACGCGAGACACTCCACTCACAAGTGTTGCAAGAGGACGAGGTGTATGAGTATTAAGTGCGGAGATGCGAGCAGCAGCAAACAACCTCACTGCAGTCTAGACACTAAGTGGCTCTAATGTCGGTTTCCAGCCACTAGCGAGGCGACTCTGGATACCATCAAGGAACTGTGGGCGGAGCCACAGCGTCGCTCCTTACTGGTGAGTGGCTGGCTGACCCCCCCTCCCCTCCTCCTCCTCCTCGCCACAGAAAACACCTTTACGAATGTGTATGAAAGGATTGGCGTTGATAGGACAGGTGATTCGTAGCGCGGGACACGAAATACGTATGTACTTGCAGGCAAGGAGTCACAATAACGTGGCTGAAGTATGTTGACCAGACCACACACTAGAAGATGAAGGGACGACGACGACGTTTCGGTCCGTCCTGGATCATTGTCAAGTCGTCGTCCCTTCACTTTCTAGTGTATGGTCTGGCCAACGTATGTACTTTAAAATGATGGACATGTATAGCCGTAGTGTGCTTCTAATATAGACCAAGCGTACGTCTAGTGCAAGAACTATGGTCAGGACTAAAGTATACTCGCTGATTGGTCTATTGTGGCAGCCATAATAATCCTCCAGAGGTTGACATAGATCTCCACCCCATCCGCCCAAACCTATTCCGGGTGATTATCGCATTTGTCCAGCCAAATTAAAGTATAAAGTAAGTATTGGCAAAAATTATAGACCAGTTGCACTAACATCGCACATCATAAGAGTATTTGAGAGAGTGATTAGGAGTCAGGTCACCAATTTCATGGAGACCAATGACCTTCACAACCCAGGCCAACATGGATTTCGAGCGGGAAGATTGTGCCTCTCACAGCTACTTGAGCACTACGACAAAGTCACTGAGGCATTAGAAGAGAAACGGAATGCTGATGTGATATACACGGACTTCGCAAAGGCTTTCGATAAATGTGACCATGGCGTGATAGCACACAAAATGAAGTCAATGGGAATAACCGGTAAAGTAGGACGCTGGATACTCAGTTTTCTGTCAAACAGGACTCAGCGAGTAACTGTCAACCATATAAAATCTAGTCCAAGTGCAGTGAAAAGCTCTGTACCTCAGGGTACAGTCCTTGCACCGCTGCTTTTCCTTATTCTCATATCAGATATAGACAAAAATATATATATATCGTATATATATATCAGCTTCGTATCATCCTTTGCAGATGACACAAAAATCAGTACGAAAATTACCTCGGCTGAGGACATTGAAAAACTTCAAGCTGATAATAAAGTTTTCGACTGGGCATCAGAAAATAACATGATGTTTAACAGTGATAAATTCCAGGTACTCAGGTACGGTAAAAATGAGGACCTTAAACATAATACAGAGTACAAAACACAATCAAATGTACCCATAGTAGGAAAACAGCATGTAAAGGATTTGGGAATAATAATGTCTGACGACCTAACGTTTAAGGAGCATAACCAAGCAAATATTGCGACAGCCAGAAAAATGATAGGATGGATTACGAGAACTTTCAAATCCAGGGATCCCATCACAATGGTTGTACTCTTCAAGTCACTTGTGTTGTCCCGTCTTGAGTACTGCTCAGTACTCACTTCCCCCTTCAGAGCAGGAGAGATTGCTGAAATAGAGGGAATACAGAGAACATATACGGCACGCATAGACGCAATAAAGCACCTAAATTATTGGGATCGTCTCAAAGCCCTCCAAATGTACTCACTAGAAAGAAGACGAGAGAGATATCAAATAATATACACCTGGAAGATACTGGAGGGCCAAGTACCAAATCTACACAGTAAAATAACAACGTACTGGAGTGAACGACATGGAAGAAAATATAGAATAGAACCAGTGAAGAGCAGAGGTGCCATAGGCACAATCAGAGAACACTGTATAAACATCAGAGGTCCGCGATTGTTCAACGTCCTCCCAGCAAGCATAAGAAATATTGCCGGAACAACCGTGGACATTTTCAAGAGGAAACTAGATTTATTCCTCCAAGGAGTGCCGGACCAACCGGGCTGTGGTGGGTATGTGGGCCTGCGGGCCGCTCCAAGCAACAGCCTGGTGGACCAAACTCTCACAAGTCGAGCCTGGCCTCGGGCCGGGCTTGGGGAGTAGAAGAACTCCCAGAACCCCATCAACCAGGTATAAACTCCATCATACATAAAGGTCTTCAGGTCTACTTAGAATCATAAGTGAGGGAAGGTCAATAGAAACATAAACCTTGAAATCTCGATGCCCGGATGACAGCCTTGATCAACACGTCCTCCACCTGGAGTCAATAGTACATATGCTGTCAACAACGTTAGGTCAATATTATTGATTTATACATATTTCAACTGACTGATTGGATTTAGGAAAGCGTTTAGCAGTCAGTCCTCAGTCTAGGATCGTCTAGGCGGCGGCCCACCTCACTCATTCATTATTTTTAATTCAAATTTTTTCATTCTTTTGTACAAACAAAAGTGTGTTTTTCTTCGTATATAAGTTAATATTAATGTATGTTAAAATTGTATGTATAATTAGGCGTAGGTTTGGTTTCGATTAGGTTAGTGTTTCGATTCTGTTGATGTATATTTGTATTCAACCCGTCTATACAGGATATGCTCATTCAACCCGTCTATACAGGATATGCTCATTCAACCCGTCTATACAGGATATGCTCATTCAACCCGTCTATATAGGATATGCTCATTCAACCCTTCTACAGGCTACGCTCATTCCATGCAGCGATCTACCTGAAAGACACGTCCCTCAATTATGATATATTATTCTTTCAAAATAGGTATTTTCTGAAATATAAATTGGTATTATTATGCATTAGCATATTGTACATATTTAGGCACTGCTTAGCTAGGTTAGGTGTTTAGGTTCTGTTGGCCATTATTTGTATTTGTAGTACGTTGGTGAAGCATTTACAGCGTTGTGGTTCGAACAAAAGTCGTCAGTGAAGCACTTGTTCCGGAAGTGTTCGAACGAAATCAGTTGTGAGTCGTGTGTAAGGCGTTTTCTATTCATAAACAAGGGGTTTAGCGGCTGCATTTCACTTTTGGGTCTTTGTTTGGAGGACGAGCTGTTTACAGTATTATAATTCGAACAAAAGTCGTCAGTGAAGCACTTGTTCCGGAAGTGTTCGGACGTCATCAGTTGTGAGTCGTGTGTAAACCGCTGTTCATTCAGAAACAAAGGGTTTAACGACTGGGTTATCAAGCATCTGGCCCTTGTTGGCGCGAACTGGCTGACGAATCGCAGCCGTGCAAATGCTTCACCCACGTACTTCAATATAAACAATCGCCAACAGAACGTAAACACCTAAGCTAACCTACACCTAACTATACATTGAACTCTAATACACAATAATATTAATTTATACATGAGAATAAACTTATTTTTAACACACAATACGCTAACATTGATGAAATGCATCTTGGGGGGACAGCCAATGGGATAACGAGCCCGGCCTGAGGATATGTTGCCATATAATAGTCAATGATCCGGTGTTCTGGAGTCACAGGTTCAGTGTTTCATTGACGGACTAACCTCTAGTATCAGTGAGGTGAAAACCCTCACTGATATTTGACGTTAAGTTGACCAAACCTCTCACTAGAAAGTGAAGGGTCTAGTGTGTGGTTTGGTCAACATATTTCAGCCACGTTATTGTGATTCCTCGTCCTGAAGTTAACAAATAATGTGAACTCTATCGGTCTTTTAATAGTGATTCTAACCACTGAACGCATGTTGCCGTAACGACAGAACGCTATCGAATGTGTACATGTTTCTTGTTCTTTGCAAGACGACGAAGACATCTCAGGAGACAGAGCTTTCCGCGTCCACATCAGGCAAGTTTCTTAAATGTTTTTAGAGATTAAGTAACGTTATAAATTGGGTAGTTGTGTTGTTGTTGATTTATTGGTGATTACGACCCTTTGATCGGATGCGCCGCAGGACTAATCTTGACAAGAAAGTTGTAATGACCAAATGGATATATTCCGAATCAAATTTATATTTATCCATGACTCGAACGGACTTAAACGGTTGGGATTTCCCTGAATAACGATAGAACCTGTAGTTGTTGTTGTTATAGACTCAGCTACTCGGAACAAGTTCCAAGTAGCACGGGCTATGGTGAGCCCGTAGTGGACTTACCTGGCCCAGGAGCGGTGAACCTGTAGTGGTTGGCGTGTTCTATTAACCTGCTACAGGTCGCTGGCTGGGACAAGTCCAACAAGCAAGGGAGAGTGGTACGGTCGTTACATTCTAGGCGAACCATTACTGTGGAAACTGTCCTCCAAGCTGTTGAAGTGTCTGCCCCACTCGCTCTTAAAGCTAGTTAGAAGTTGCTATCGCGTATAAAATCAGGGTATATAGGCCGAGAGGATATATGGTATATATCAGCAAGCTATTGTGGTGGCCTTAATAACCCTCCAGAGAGTGATAGGCCATATATATAAAGCCAAAAACACATTCTCTCGAACAGTACATCGCATTTTGACGACTATATTCCCCTAAGGACAAAATAATAAATCCTAGTGGCTCGCAAAGTTGGCGTGATGTCCCGTTTTCTTCTATTCGTGGAGCCTTGGTTATGGTCGAGCAGTTTAGTACATCAGTTTAGTGACGTTGTGTACGCTCGAGAGAACAGGCTGGCAATTACATCATTCAGAATTTTATGTTTAATTTACTGCAGATTTTACGCAATTTGTATTTTAATGGTTTGCGTTCACTGATTAGTAGTCGTTGGGCCGAGCGCAATGTTTAACGCAAACTTTCTCTTCGATTTATTCAGCAAGGTTGGGCATGTTGGGTGAGGCTGGGCATGTTGGGTGAGGCTGGGCATGTTGGGTGAGGTTGGGCATGTTGGGTGAGGCTGGGCATGTTGGGTGAGGTTGGGCATGTTGGGTGAGGCTGGGCATGTTGGGTGAGGCTGGGCATGTTGGGTGAGGTTGGGCATGTTAGGTGAGGCTGGGCATGTTGGGGGAAGCTACGCCGGGGACATTCATCTTGTGGGCTGCGTAAGACCATCATTATTTCTTGAAAGTCGAAGAAGTATTTTGATTCCAAATATTGGGTTTTGAGGTTTACGTTCAGTTCCAAATGTGTGGCCTTCTCTTGTA